GATAATGGCAGCTACCCCCCAAAGTCAGTGAATCTGGGGAGTTTTTGTAAGCAGAGTCTGTAAGAGGCAAGTTATTTTTAAGCTCTATTGTGGGCCTTCAACTTATGCACTTGGAGCACCAGAGTGGGGATCAGCCTTGATACTCAAACTGCCCCTTTTCTTTAGTTGGCTGGGAAGACATTTTTCACTTTGCAGTCCATTGGTAGGGGAAAGGTGAGTTTTTTCACTATTCCCCACAGCTGGTCTGGGATCCAGTAGGGTGCAGTTGAGGGATTAGATTAGTGTTGCAACTTTATACATAAAACTTGTGGCAGGTGTCTAGTGCAGTTTTTTGCAGAAGGGATGTAGTTATTGGATAAAATGGGCTGTAAAAGGAAAGCATCCTTTAAGGAGAAGAGTAAGGTTGGTTCAGAGCTCGTATGTCTCATCAGTGAGGAGTAGACCCCCACTCCTTTTCCCAGCTCCTGAGGAAGTGCATTTGGGGGTCCTATATCTGGATTAAGAGGGAGCAGACCCCTTTCTCTCTATACTGTACCATTTGTTTTCAGATATTGTAAGTGAATAAAGCTGCAGCCTAATTACACACATCCATGGCCTCCTGTCTTTCTTCCAGTGTGGATGGACAGTGTTGGCAGCATCTGTTTTAGGATTTTGTTAAAAATTACCAAGGTCAATATTTATAATAATATACTTGGAATGTTGGAAGCAGGAACATACGCTTGGAAAATGAAAGTACAATGGGTAGCTTTTCCGGAATTCTTTTCTACAAGTTAAACTAGTAATCAAACAATGCTATACAGAGGGAACATAGATTGATTTTATACTTTAACATGTACATATCAGCTAAACATCAAAAGTAATGAAATGATTAAAATACACAGCTAAAGAAACATCTAAAAAGAAGAACCTTAAAAAACTGACCGAGTGACCACAGCACTGGAACTAGATACGTGAAATCAAACAAAACCAAAATAATAAAACTAAAACCAAAATAATAAAATAAACTCAAAAATTCCTCAGAAAAAGTCATTGCCTATATTCTATGCTAAATATATCAATGTACAGCAGACTTCCGATAATCCGGCACCTTTGGGACCCAGGGGGTGCCGGATTATCAGATATGCTGGAGTATCAGGAGGTACTCTGGCAGGGAGGCTATGATGGATCTGGGGGGAAGGATGTCAGGTGGGGAACGGTGCAGCGTGGGGTGAACCACGTCCTGGTGAGGGGCAGTGCTGCAGGACTAACCCAGCAGCACCCCAGCTGCTCTGTCCCACGGCTTCCCCAAGTACGCCGCTGGTCAGTTTCAGCAGCGGCAGACTTGGGGAAGCCGTGGGGCAGAGCAGCTGGGGCGCTGCCGGGTGCCGAGCAGGGGGATGAGGGGCGGTGCTGCAGGACCAACCCAGCAGCACCCCAGCTGCTCTGCTCCGCTTCCCCAGATTCGCAGCTGGTCAGTTTCAGCAGCGGCAGCAATGGACTTGAGGAAGCTGCGCGGAGCAGCTCCAATTGTCCGGCTGGCCTGAGCACTTCCAGGTTCCAGTTGGTGCTGGACTATTGGGAGTGCCGGACCACTGGATGCCGGACAATTGCAGTTTTACTGCAACCAAAGAATTAAGAAAGAAAATAGCATTACTACTAACACAAAGAATAAAGTCCCCATGATATTTTCAGGAAATCTCAAGATAAACTTCACCCTGGAAACGCTAAGCACCATATATAACACCATGCAGTCATTTTATTGGTGCACACTGGAAATATCCTAGCACATGGGAAACATCAGCATAGGTTCTTCCAGGTCTCAGCACATCACTTCCACAGATCATAAAATAAACCCAGATGCAGCAAAACTAACTGCCAAGCAAAAACCAAAAATGTGAACATACTGAAAACGAACAGTGGTTCATGTGTATAGCATTAAACCTAACTGAAAAGCAAACACATATATACCAGCTACTTCCTGTATTAAACAAATGTATTATAAAATTAAAATAGAAGTACTACATATCACAAAGAAAAAGTCAGGCCAGCTAATTAAAATGCCACATTAAACAATAGCAGGAAGGAGCCACACTTGCCGGGTCCTTGGGCAAGATGGGGGGACAGGGCTTCAGGTGGAAGGGCTGGAGCTGGGTGCAGCCAACCCTCAGTACTGCCCGGAGTGCAGCGTGCCACACCTTCCACCAAGCAGCTCTCAGAACAGCCTCGAGTGCACCGTGCAGTGCTCCAGCAGCAATGTAAAGGGCCTGGAGCTTGGGATGCCACCACTGACCCAGTAGTAGTGGCAGCAGCTGGGAACCAGGGACCTTTTCAATCGACAGGCCCCAACGGCAACTGTTGCCCCCTCCCCCGACACCCCAGTGGCACTCTTGAATATTAGTTTAAAACTCTTTCAAAGCAAAAATACACACAGTTATTGAACACAAGCTAAAATGAAAATGTGGCTCACTCTGAAAAAGCCTGTCTTGCCATTGGGCTGGCCAGTTAGGATGTCTTTTGGAGTCACTGCCATTTAGCCCTTCAAGAAGAGCCATTGGACAACGTCATTTTGAGAGAAGAGCAAGTTATCTTTGCAGATCTAATATCACAGCCCCAATCAGGTTTGGATAAATTATTTCAGTGTAAGTATCTAAAATAAGGAACCACTGTGGTATTTTACTAGCAAAACTAATGTTTCAAAACACAGGAAACCAAATATGATGCCTCATAAATGATTAATAAATTTGTATCTGCCCCTTCATCATTATTTTCAGTGACTGTTTTTCTTTCTCCTTCCTCTATCTTTTTTATATTCCCTAGGGATCTGTCCTTGATTTTCCCTAACTCTCAGAGTACTCCTTATCTACTTCTCATAGTTTTTCATCACATCACTGTTGATAACAATCCAACCTTTCTGCCCATTCCTGACTCCTTTCCATTTGTTATGGCTTTCATATTTTCTGGGCATCTTGTTATTCCCGCCATTTAAAAAAATGGCAAAAACTATTTTCTCATATCCCTCTTCATTGTCATTGAGAAAAGGGGAAGAACCTGCATTCTGGGACCTGCAAAGCCATGCATGCACTGAGTATGTATTGGACAAGTTACAGAGAAGTTTGAAAAAACTGGTAGTTTTGCTTGAAAAAAAATTGACTGAGACACTGGACAAACAGGCCTTTTCAAGCACAAACACTTCAAAATGCATTAACAGGTGTGTTGTAAGCAAGACACGAGAAGTCATTCTTCTGCTCTACTCTGTGCTGGTTAGGCCTCAGTTGGAGTATTGTGTCCAGTTCTGGGTACCGCATTTCAAGAAAGATGTGTAGAAATTGGAGAGGGTCCAGAGAAGAGCAACAAGAATGATTAAAGGTCTAGCGAACATGACCTATGAAGAAAGGCTGAAAGAATTGGGTTTGTTTAGTTTAGAAAAGAGAAGATTGAGGGGGGGACATGATAGCAGTTTGCAAGTATCTAAAAGAGTGTCATAAGGAGGAGGGAGAAAATTTGTTCATCTTGGCCTCTGAGGATAGAACAAGAAGCAATGGGCTTAAACTGCAGCAAGGGAGGTTTAGATTGGACATTAGGAAAAAGTTCCTAACAGGTCAGGGTAGTCAAACACAGGAATAAATTGCCCAGGGAGAATCTCTCTCTCTACTCCATTTAAGAGTAGGTTAGATAAATGCCTCTCAGGGATGGTCTAGTCAGTACTTGGTCCTGCCATGAGGGCAGGGGACTGGATTCGACCTCTTGAGGTCCCTTCCAGTCCTAGTATTCTATGATTCTATGAAACTGAGCAGTGACCACTTGTTCCTGGCCACCGCACCATTTTCCTTCACTCTGAAGCATAAAGCTTTGGCTGTTTTAAAACATATGATAGCTTTGTTTTATTTTTAAAATGCCTATTTAGTCATCTGAGAAACAGAATGATAATTTTAGAACTTCAAAATTAACCACGGGAATTCCAAAATGCTATATGCAGCTGTAATGTAATTGGTCCTGTGGGGCTTAGTTTATTTATAAGAAGGTCATGCAAGACTATATCAAATGCTTTACTAAAGTCTTGGTATACCACATCCTATACTTCTTCCCCTTATCCATAAGGCTTGGACTCATTGTGACCCAGAATTGACCTTAAAGTCCACTGGCAAATTTTAGGAGCAATTTTAGCAGGCGAGCTAACTGGAAGTCTCTGAGTGGGCAATCCAGAAGTCACTATTCTAAGCCTGTTTCAGCTGGAAGTCTCTTTTGCATTTCTTACAGTCCACATTATGGACAAATCAGAAGATATATGTCATTCTATAAATACAGCTGTTTTCCTTTACAGAGGTACAAAAAACATTTAGGAGCTAATAGAAAAACTTCTACTTTATCCTTCCCTAAGATCATGTCTAGACTACCCTTGGCTTCTGAAAGACAATATGCAAATTTGCATATCTTCTTCTGATCCCTTTTTTGGAGTTTTGGAAAAAAAAGCTATTTTCACGCAACCCCACCTTTTTTTGAAAGAACCCTTATTCCTCAAAAATGAGGTTTACAGGATTCTTTCAAAAAAAGGGTTTTGCATGAAAATCCCAGCCTAGACTGCTTTTTTTTTCTTCAAAGAAAATCTGTTTGGAAGAAGATTTGGAAATTTGCATATCTTCTTTTGGAAGCCGAGGGTAGTCTAGACATGCCCTAACTTAGAAATATCTTTTTTTTTCAAATTTTGTATAAACAAAAAACAAAGGACACAAAACAAAAAGCTTGTTGTTCCTAAACTAAGACCTTGAATGCCAAGACTCATCCTGGAATTATTTTTCTATGGCCATAAAATAAGCCATAAAAAACAAATTATAATGGAAATAGACACATGGAAGAAATGTAACAATTACACAAACGACAGTTTTAAATGTACAATTTAAAACTCTATTTCAGAGAATATATGCAATACAAAGTAGAAGCAGGAAAAGTACTTTGTTCACACATATTATAGATTGCATTCCCAATATTTACTTGTCCACTCAAAGTTTTGAATTATTTCCTACCTACTAGCCATATTCCACTCAAGCGCTGGGTTTTGAGAATTTCTTTCATTCTCTGTCAGCACACCTCCTTTACTACTGTCCTTTTCAGGTTTCAATTGATCCCACTGCGCAGTACCAATGTTGATAGACTGAAGATCTATTTGGTATTGTCTGTCTTCAACCTCTGATCCGGGGTCCCGAAGTATTCCCAGATTAAGTGCTCTCCTATAATGATATAAATATTTTAATCATAATGAGATTTCATTAAATCATTTTGTTATTAAAAGTGCAGAGAGAAATGAGGAAACAGAGAGCCATGTTTTGAACAAATTATATAATGTGTGGATAATTTGATGGTCTTCCTGCTCATTGTGGGTGTGTCTAGACCACATCCCTCTTTCGACAGAGGGATGTAAATTAGACACTTCAAAATTGCAAATGAAGCCAGGATTTAAATATCCCGTGCTTCATTTGCATAAGCACATAAAAGTGCTTTTGCGAAAGAGCGCTTCTAGAGTCGGTTTACAGGATCTTTCGAAAAAGCACCCCGTTTTCGAAAGAACCGCATCTAGACTGCACTTTCAATTTCGAAATAGTGCTTTTTCGAAAGAGCGCCATTACGTGATTATGTAAATGAAGCACGGGATATTTGTCTAGTGAGTGTTTTGGAATGTCTTCTTGTTATAAAGTGAGAAAAACTAGACAGCAGATGGGAGAAGAAGAAAGAGGCTGCAGGACAATTTTTCCCTTTTGCAGTGAAATCTGGTGAACAGGATCTTTCCCCAACAATTAAGAAAGCAAAAGAAAGGGAATTCTAGATGTGGCCTGTCAATTAAATGGCAAGTTCAACCCTCAATCAGAGGCAGTTGGTATCATACAACAGCTAAGTGTGTACTTACTTTTACACAGAGAAGGAGTAAACTACACCCAGCACTGCATCCTTCAACTTTCTTCTGCACAATCATATGCTGCCCAACAGGATTACTGAAGCAATAGATGCATTGTGAAAGTGTACCTGCAATTCCTCATTGTGCTGGCTAGGATGAATTTGGCCCTTATTTTGTGTTATGACTAGATTTACTAGTCTCAAAATAAATAAAAAATAAATAACTTCCTGGCATTTATCTTCTTGAGCAAAGAACAGGGAAGACTACTATTCATAGAGTCAAATAAGCTAGAGATAGAAAAGACCCATTAGCTAACCTGTCCATTCCACTGTCAATACCAAATTGTTCCCATACTGTTTTTTTTTCTAGCATTTAGTTATATTCAGTTTAAAAAGCAGTAAGCAATAATGTTTCTACCACTTTCCATAGGAGATTATTCCATCCTCCAATACATCTCACTATCATGATGATACTCAAGCTACATTTTCTTGGTCTTAACTGCATCCTATTCTTCCTTGTAATATCCCATGCCACAACCTAAGTAATTCCTTTCCATCCTTCACATGCACACCTTTGAAATATTAGTAGATTCTTTTGTTTCTGCAGTCCTCCCAATTTTTCCACCTCTTAGCCATTTCATACAAATGCCGTTCTTTTAAAACTCAGTTCTCACACTGTAAATCAATCCCTCCAGCCTCTCTTGTTACTTTTTTCTGAACCCCTCCAGATGATTAATAACTTTCTATTAAGGTGGGCCCAGAGGTATATATAATATCCCAGATGTGTTCGCAACAGAGCTACAATATAAAACACTGCATGCTCACCCTTTTTCATGTCATGGTGCCTTTGTGTATGCAGCCCTAGTTTTGTTAGCTTTTTTGCAGCAATATCACACTGTAAACTAATGTATAACTTTCTGTCTACTATCATCATCTTGAGAGGTATCCCAATATGTCAGTTTTCAAGGCCCTTACTTCTTAATGAGTATGTGTGTTTTCGGTTATTTTCCCCTAAGGTTTCTGGTTTGTATAGTTTTGCATTATGGGTCATTTAAGGTCTCTATTCAAAACATGAATGCATAGTATTCCATTCTTGTAGCTGAGAAAGCCTAATCTGACTATGCACAGCTTTTGCAAATCCATTATGAAAGTAAGTCATGTCAGTAATGGGTGTTGAGAGTCTCAATCCCTGCTACAAATAAACCATTACAACCACATGAGATATAATTTCAAATACTTTAATTAACATCTAATGGCATATGATAATTTGATAATGACTGATTACCAATCTGAAATTGAATTGTCAGTTTATACTAAAAGAAAAAATAACTTCTAATATTTCCAGCTAATTGTATACATCATAACTAAAAAAAGTATGGGTTCTCTGTCAACTACTTAAGTACACAAGAACTGCCAAACTGGATCAGACCGAAGGTTCATCTAGCCCAGGATCCTGTTTTCCAACAGTGGCCAATGCCAGATGCCCCAGATGGTGTGAATAGAACAGGTAATCATCAAGTGATCCCTCTCCTCTCATCCATTTCCAGCTTCTCTCAAACAGGGTCTAGGGACACCTTTCCTACCCATTCTGGCTAATAACCATTTACATGAACAACACCCTGATTTTATTCACTATACTTCCTGAATGGACCCAAATAAGTGAAATGTCTTCCAACTGACCTTGTATTGAATATACATGGTTCAAAATTCCATGAACTTTGTAACCTTTTTTCATTTTGCTGCTTTTGAAACCCTTCTAGCAATTGAAATCAGGAAAAAGAGTAAGCGGAAAAGATTTTGGGTTTTGAAACCCGGAAAAGATTTTCCTGATTTTGCTGCAATTGAAATCAGGAAAAAGAGTAAGCCAAGATTCACATGATTCCATGCCTCTAATATAAAAGCTGCTTTAGCAGCAGAAATACACTGTAGAAGTTAGAATTGTCATTGTTTTGCCCTTCCAAAAATAATTCCACCA